AAATTTTCATATTTAAACAATATATACACATGTGTGCGTTTATATATGTAAAACATGTTTATTACAAATAGTAGAATTTAAACATTAATTTCTTATTTGAATCCAAACTATTCTATAATTATGCCTCTACAATAAGGAAAGAGTTCCCTAAACCTATTTCAACAGCTTGATAGATATGCCTCTTTAAGGTGCTATTTGAAATAAGCAATGAAATTCTAGCTATAGGCCCAAGAGAGAAAAAATATTGTGTGTACTTACGATGGTATTTCATATTTTATGAGGTTCTAAGTATAAAGTAAAACACAAATCACCATTACCAACACTGATTTTCAAAACAAACCCAAAGATCCTATAGATTGTCAAGGCAAGATAAGAACAATGGGAAATTTTAATAACTAATAGATTTCTAGAAATATACTTAGACAATCTCTTCTCAATTGAATTTAGTGTTGTGCCATATTAAACATTTAATAATGAATTCATTTAAAATATTATGAATATTTAAAATATCCCCTGAAATGATCAGTATTATTGATCTTAAGCTTTTTGGATATATTGTTAAATAGGGCTTTAAATTTTTTTATCAATAAGCCTAATTCATTAGTTCATAGTCTTAAAAGCTCTTTTAACCACCTGTGGTTATGTGGCAAAGCGCAAAGACTCTTTGCACCACTCTACTAGAAACCCTACAGCTTCACAACCTCTAATTCTTTCTCCCACTCACTAACGAGGTATTTCTTGAGCTTCTTCATCTGTTCTTCTTTCTATATATTTTTTCTTATACACACATTTCTTAGATGAGGCTATTTTGACTAAACTGTCAATGATATGGACATTTTGATATGCAGGATACAGAGCTAAAATTAAGAATTTGGGGCAACAGAGAAAAAATGATCTGAAATGTCACACCTCCTTTGGGACATTAAACTCTATCTATTATATCTACACACACACGTCTGTGTGTGTGAATGTGTGTGTGTATGTGTGTATACTCATTTTCAGTTTTTTTCCATGACTAAGAATGTGTATGTACATTAAGCACTATCTCTATGTCCCAAATATTGATCTCTCTCAGTGACCAACCCCCACATGCTTTGAAAACCCTCAAACTGACACCATCTCACTTGCCTTCCCTTTTGATTAAGCTAAGGACAACTCATCTGATGATGACTCTTGTTTAAAGTAGAAAATACCAGATGGATTCACATCTACATCATTCATTGGTCAAGGTGATAGACTTTCTTCTAAAAGGAACACACAAAAAAAACTGGTTTCTTTGGATTTGTTTGGGTGAAGTTTATAGGTGTGAAAGTCAGGTCTGCATGACTTACCTCTGCCTAGCTTTCAACATTTCCAGATATTTATCTAATGACCTAAGTTCCATTCAAAGCGGTCCCTGAACCCAGCCTCACTATCTAGCATTTATGCCTTGGCTTAACATATTCCCTCTGCCTTTTCCTCTTCTCAGATTTTTCTCTCTCAAAGCTGTATCCTTAAAGGATATTTAAACCCCATTTCTTTATTATGCCGCAGCGTTTCTAAATCTAATCAAAGGAAATTGAAAAGCTCTCTTTCTTTTGAATTCCATAGTCCTTGTCTATCTCTCATTACCTAGTGCATTGTTTATTCACTGTTTTGTTTCCTAATCTCTCTTGCTACATTGTAAATTCCGTTAGAGTAGGAATTTTTGCCCTAAAGTTCTGCCAGAGGAAGCAGTCAACAAATGTTGAATAAATGTAATGGAGCTGAACTAAACACTGCTTTAGAATGCTCAGCCACTCATTAATGTAAAAGAATGACAGACATGAACAGCAATACAAATCATGATAATTGTTACTGGCAAACTTTTCCAAACAAAGTACATTTTATTTAGTTTATCTGAATGCCATATAATATAAAATTACGGAGTCCTTGAACAGGAGTACCACCTCCCTCAACATACATCCTCAAACCCATATAATGAGACAAATGAAGCAGTGCTGTGGGCCCTAAAATACACAGCTGTGCGATGCCCTCCTGCCTGATCTCCTACTCGTGGCTTAGGATTTCAAAGCAAAGCAAACAAGGCAAAGAAAGGTAAAATGGTCAAACCAGTTATAGGGAGAAACATATTTACAGGTCAGAACAACAAGAAGTCATTTATTTCTCTGTGATAAACATGAACTTCTAAAGTAGACACAATAATGATTAGTATCACCTAGGACTAGATTCATTTTAATTTCTCTGCTGGTCTATTTTCAACCCACCTAATAAGAGAAGTTCACCAAGGGGAGTCATCTCCATTTTTAAAAATTTAAATCAATAGAAACATATAATGTGAAATTCTCCCTAGGATGTTGAATCCCCTAAGGGCAAAGATACTATAATATTAATCTTTGTATCCCTAAGCATAGTACCTAGTACAGAATAGTTGCTCCTTAAATGTTCTCTGAATAAATACCCAACTTTTAATAAGATATCAATTATTTAAACTAAAAAATAAAGACTATATATTCTTACATAGGAGCAGCCTTCCAATAAAAAAAAAAAGCAAATCTCTCATCATTTTATTTAAGAAAGCGTATACTTGGAAATACACACGTAGTTTATTATTCTGGTATTAATAGCAAAAAGCATTGAGATATATTTACCCATTATATGATTCAGACACACCAGCAAATGGCTCATTTTCACAGTTGGCATAAAGAAATACAAAACTTAGCACAAGTGCAACCATAGACGTAAGCAGAGCAAACTTCATTGTGTTTTTACACGCCATTTTGAATTTAGAAACAAGGACACCACCTAAAATCTGACCAAGAGCAGCTCCAGGAATTAAAACAGCCCCTAATGAGAAAGAAGACACAGACTGTGAGAAAACATACAAGTGTACTCAGTGACTCATACTGACAATTGCAAAACATCAAAAACAAGCACCAATATGGTTTTAACACATGAAAGCCCTCATGTGATTTAGAAATATATGAATAAATGACTTAATAGTTATATTAAATAAGAGATTAATAAAATTAATGTTTTGAATATTAAGATTAACATATATTCTCTTTAGCTATGTGGCCTCTATGTCTCTCAAGTTCACATAATAGATTGTTCAATGTCAGAAAATCAGAAACTTTTATCAAAATCAGTACAAAGTTTAAATTTCAAGGAGAGGGCTATCCAAAATTATAAGCTATTCTAATAGGCATTTAATATAGTAAAGTAAAATTACTAGATTAAGTTAGAATAAAGAAAATGTTTTACCTCCAAGGGTAGCTGCAAAACTGGATGACAATCCAAATTGATTTTCTATAAATTTAGGTAAAAATGTAGCAAATCCAGTAGTAACTAAGGCTTCTGAAGAAGTTGATACAACTAAACACATAAAGACAGTATTCCTCATCAAATTCTAAAGAAAAAATACAGTTCACCAAATGAATAACTATGATTATACTGCAAAATGCAGCATAGAATGGTAGCATGATGAAATGGCAAATTTTTAATAAACAATATAATTATCTATAAAATTTCAGCATTTCCTCCAGCACAAAAGGATAAATATGGATTATTAATAGCTTTATATATACGATGTTGGCAAAAACTATATGTGGAGCACCTAGAGAATCGACAGATGATTCATTGGTAGGGTGACTGAGCCTTTATCATATACAAGAGACCAGGAAAAGGAGGTAAAATCTCCCCTGGAAATGTTCCCTTCCCTAGTCTTACTGTAAATCTCCGTACAATATATCTACCCCTTATTTGATATTTTTGTTGTGTTTTGAATTCCTATGTCCAGTAAATGAAGAACTTGACTATAAGCACAGATGAGAACGGTCTCTAAGAACCAAACTTGCAGTATTGTAAGTAAAGGACTATGAGTAAAGGACTCAGTAGTTAAGAACTTTAGATAGGTATGGAGTTAAGCAATTTTAAATAGGTGTCTACATTTCTGGACTTATCAGAATCTTATTAAATCTATCAGAAGGGAATATAGAGATTCATTATTCCAATATATTTAACCATAAAGTGAAAACCAAATCATAGTTCTGGAATATTAAATGCAAAAAATTTCATAAAACTGTGCAAAACATACATGCACACACCCACACCCACACACAGGAGTCACAAAAGGACAAGATAAGAGATTTAGAAGTCAGAGCCAGATGATCTAACGTAAGAGTAACAAAGTGACAAAAGGGGAAAAAATCCCTGAATGAAGACATGCAACAAATAAAAAATAATAATAATAATAGTAAATATTTATCTTCAGATTGAAAAAGATAATGAATTCCTAGCAAGGATTAATGAAAAAAGACACATACTTAGGCATAACCTAGTAAATTTCCTGAAATCAAAGATAAATGAAAAAATTTACAAATCTGCAAATGGAAAGAATAAGTAAGAATCACATTAACACAGATCTCTACTGCAACACATTTAACTAGAAAAGAGCAAAACAACATCCACAGACTACTGGGATTAAACAAATATCATCCAAAAGTATTCATCCAGTCAGAAATATCATTCTGACATTCAAGGATACTTAGATGGTATCCTACCTGAGGAAAACCAGCAATAAAATGCTGTATCCACAGAGATCTGAATCAGAATCGAGATCTCGAAGCATGAGATCTTAAGGATAAAAAAAACTGCGGTGAGTAATGACTCTTGAGGGTAAGATAAATAAGAATTTATAAAATAAATCAAATAGAAATATATGAAATAGAACAGAACTACTATAAAAGAAAAGAATAGTAGTTGGAATTAAAAATTACGAACAATCTCAGCAAAACACAAGAATGTGCCTATATGGGAGAAGAGGAGGAAGAGTTGAAAGGTGGAATGAACGGAGTAAAAACACTTTAAAGCTTTCATGTGAGGAGGAAAAAAAATAATGAAAAGTAAAAAATTTCAAATTTTGAAAAGGTAAAATTATAAACTCCGCTTATGTACAAAACTTTATGATGCTAAATAGAAAGAATGCTTTTCTGCTGAGGCCAACAGAATAGACCATAAAACTTTTGTTTCTTTAACCTCAAATTCAAATCAAGTAACCACTAACTACACTTCTTTTCACAAGGGAAAAATATTGGTTTGGCATTCTCAGATATATATTTCCAATTCAGTGATAACTGATCGATCCATTACATAAGGGAAATGGCATGGAATAATGGGCTATGGTGCTAATGAGGAACCACTGAAGATCGATATTGCCAATAAGATAACTCATCTTCTTTCAACCATTATACTCTGGAGTAGTTTTCATTTACTGAAAGCACTATAAAATTAAATCTGAAGAGTCATTTATAAGAGCTAGAATTACAGCAAACAAGCAAACAAGAATGCATTATGACAATGTGTGTATGTATATATGTATATGTGTGTTTATGTGTATAGGTAATATATACATGTATCTACATATATATTTGTATGTGTGTGGGGGGGTGCGTGTGTAACGTCTTACTTTACCTTTAGAGCTGCTGGAAAATCTTTAAAACTTTTCCCAAAATTCTCATCTGTGTGTTTTAAGGAACTACTCTTATTCTGATGAGTCTGGGAAGTTTTTCCATCTTGAATTTTTGCTGTACCTAAAAAAAATAGTAAATGTACTTGCTCTATGACTTCATTCTTCATTTTTAAAAATGCTTACTTTTTAATTGACATACACTTCTACAAGTATATAAATTCCATAACATAAGAAGCCAGTTCCTCTCTTTGTCAATAAAATTCTACGAATATCTATGTCTGTAATCTGGCAGTCCTAAGAGCTAGTATTACTATCATTAGCTAAGGAAGTTCCAACCAGTCTAAAAATTAAGATGAGACAATTTTTCTCCAATCACATATTTATTCTCTTTGTTTAAAATCTCTCAAAAACTTTTTCTTCATTCCAAATGGTTCTGTTTCTCATCCTTTATACATTAAACAAATTATGTTTGAGGCTTTCTTCCTTTATTCTCTTTAATTCTAACATGCTCTGCAGATGAAATAATATTTGTCATCTATTACCAGGTCTCTTTGATTTTTAATAATGGTATTGTGAATAAAACTGAGAAAACAGTTAATGTAATCACAAGTTGGATGGGACCAGGATAGAAAGAAATCAATGAGTCTATCTACCTCTATTCTGCCAACTTCTCTTTTGCCCATTTCTAAAAGTTAATCATCTATCCTATTACATATGACAATAGAAACAACTAAATACCTTCGGCCTAGAAAAAAATGCCTCTACAGATATGTATTTGAACTACATGATTATACAGAAGCAAAATCTCATAGAGAAAGTAATGGATATTATTTTCTTTTAATCTTCACTTTTTGGACAGACTGTTGGTATTGAAATATGGTGAAAAATGAGTACACTACAGTGTGACTTCAGTGACAATTGGAAAAAAAAAATACTTGTACTTTGATCAACAGATAATTAACATCAATAATTTAAAGCATATTGGCTCTCGAAGTTAATGACTAACAATACAAACTAATAATTTAAAAGATAGGAGGTGAATATGTACAGTTTTATTGATTATTAACTGGAAATAAATAAAAACCATGAATATTAAGATTGCTACCCAATATTTCCTAAAATAAAGGCAGATATTCAAAAGTTCATAGAGGGCAGACAACTGAGATTCTATAAAACGAACCGAATTTTCTAGGGTTCTTATTAATCATATAGAAAGCAACACTTGGCCTACAATTGAAATAAAACTCCCTGGTTTTAAAGAAAACATTTTTACCTGGTAAGTGTTTTGGAAAGCAAGAAAAAGGTATTATCAAAGACCAAGCAAAGAGCCAAGACACAAGAAATCCAATCCACCACGCCCCCAGCCATCGCGGATCATCCTCAGCGATATCAATGCTATGTGATAGAAAAACAAGACGTAAAAGTCAACTCTATCTTGTTAATTAAAACTCAGTTATGATAATTATATACTTTATAACTCAAATGCATATATAGAGGAATATTATTATAATATTCAAAGTTTAAATGGAGCCATTGTGACAAATCAGACAACAGCTAGGCATAAAGAAAGCTATAAGAAAAATGGTTTACAAAGTATTACAAGATGGCAAGTATAACATAAAAGTTTAAAATATTTAAAAGTAAATATAAGTATGCTGAATATTTGAAAGCATACATAGAATTTCTGGACGTTTTTTATCTCTCTTTAGCCAAGTTTTCTTCTCTACTACATTAAATTAAATACATCTCACAGCAAATCACCAACCTGTGTTAAAAGCCCATACACTCTGCTTCAATTATGGCATTCATTTAAATGTAAAATTCTTCTCAAAGTGATTAAGTTTTCTATACTGCTTCTCATATTTTTATATCAACAGGCTCTTCCCAAAAACACATGACTCCTACAACTCACGTAATTCTCCACTGAAATTAAAATGTCCTTTCTTGAAAACCCAGTTCTCTGCTTTAAGGGCTTGCTCTGCACATCTTTTTATATATCTCAAAAAGATTAACCTAGGACTAACAGCTTAAAGAAAAAATCACAGACCCATGACCACATTTTCTTATTCAATGTTCACAGTCATGCAAAGGATTGTGTAGTTATGATTCCCCGTGGTAAAATGAGAAAATATGGCCTCACCAAAGGTCACTAACTTCTCTATTCAGGAAAAGGAGAAGGCAACTCAGTGGTGAAGAGGGTATTTTGAACTCAAAAAGATCTACTTCAATTCATGCCTTGGCCACTTACCAAGCTGTATGCCAATCCTCCACCTTACTGGATTATTAAGAGGATTAAATAAAATGGCATGTAAAATAAGGTAATACACAAAGCATATGTTGCCTAGAACATAGTATGGGATAAATAAACATTACCTATTATTATCCTCCTTTGTCACCGTTGTTAAAACCACACACTTGTGATCTCTACGACATTATCAGAGCTACGATAGAACTTAGTCTGAGAATCGTAGACTCTTGAGATTTCAGGCTATCTATCTCTAGCTAAATATTCTGAAAATATAACAAATTTTGATTAAATTCTTCTTTTTGAAAAATGCATGGGATCCTAGATGTGTATTTTGAAAATTTTCACCAGGTGACCATTAAGCACTCTTATTTATGAATAAATGCATTATACTAATAGATGTGGAGGCATTAATTTATGAAGCAATGCAGCCAAAATGTTATATAAACATTGTGTGTATTCAGTTTTGTTTCCTGGAAAATCCCTCATGCTATACTAAGGAAATACTGTGAAAATGTTCTGTCTATGATGCTAATCTTATTAAAATAAAATAAATTTAAATAAAAGAAAGATAGATATCGCCTTGCCTTTCTCCCATACCAACATCAATGTACAGGGTTAGCAGTTGTCCTCCCAACACATAGCCAATAGCAGGGCCTAATATTGACATAGAATAGCCAATTCCTAGAAAAAAAAAGAACAAAGAGATTGAAAATGGTCATCTGTACAACTTTGCTTTGAATGTCTAACAATAGTGAAGAAAGGCAAATATTTTACTATAGAAAAATTGAAATGATTAGAATTATATCAAAATTATACATATTTTCACTAAAAAAATATCATTTGAAGGTATCACTTGTCAAGATGATGAGCTTAAAATATATAATTCAATGTAAAAGTTGTTAGACTATAATAATAATTGCAATAAGTCCATGGAAAGTTATATTATGTTAACTGGCAGCATGGGTAGTACATCTACCATTATCCTGTATGGACGGTGATAATAATTATTGTTTACAATTCTTATGGAAGAAAACAATGTGAAATGAGAAGGTTTTTTCCACTCTGTACTTACTCCAAAAATATTTTTTATTTTGCACTACAGCAGCTGATCTTAAAACCTGGGTCTGCTCATTAGTCTGTTTCTTAAAAGTAAGCCGTTAATTTAAACCCCCACTGTTAGTGAATCTTCCATTTTTACTTGCAGCAGAATTAAACAGACATGACTTCTCTCAGATATTTAATTTTGTGCTATATATAACATTTAATTTTTGCAAAAAGATTTATGCATACATCAGTATCCTAGTATATTATTACCTTCCGGATTCTCATTCTCATACACAAAAGAACAGGAATATACCATACCAAAGCTAAGCATACATCAATGGCAAAAATGACTTATGTACTAGACCAAGTCTCCAAAGCAAAGGTCATGCAAGATGATCTGAAAACATAAAAGAAATTTTATTTATCTATCAACTACCTTAATTTATATAATTAAGTTGTAATATGATTATATTTATATCAGAGTTATTAATACTATATAATTTATAACTAATATTAATTTAAATAATATAATTAGCTTGTTTGTATCTATACTTAATTAAATTAATATGAGTTAATTTAAACTTGATTTATATATAGTTACATTTTAAAATGTAAAAAAAATTAGTAGAAAATTTTAAGTATACACTTTATAAATAATTAAGTGTGTATATATAAAGGATTCATGCTCAAAAAATTTTATGGATAAAAGTACATGATTAAAGATGCTGGAAATAAGTACTTCTCAAATTACCTTCGGTGAGAGACCTTTGTTTAAAAATAATTTCCAATTGTGTTTAGACTGGTACATTTGTAAGGATATCTTATAAGTTTTGCTGAAGTATAAAACTGCTATAAAAGTTTCTAAAAGTTTATTTTCATTTTCTACCTTATCTTCATGTTCGCATGGGTCCATGGAACACACATTAAGTAGCACTGCCTAGGTCATCTGCTTTTTCCAGTCTTCAGCAACTATTCCATGCTTAGCAAGAAAGACTGCTTTGTATATGTTCACAAATACACTCATAAAAGAAATACATCAAGAAAGCAAAAGATTTAAAGTTTTCAAGTGACAAAAAAGTGAATTTGATATAACCCCAAAATTACAAATTCTGGCAACGGTGGACTATGGTGGACTAGTGTTTCCAAACAAATTTCCTACTAAGGAAAACTTCTAAAAACTGTAAAAATTATTTCTAAATATCTGCTTGAAGGCAAAGAGATAAAAATAGTGAAGGACCCCTGAGTCAAGATTCTGGAGAAGAGAGATATCTAGCAAACTGCGACAATTTTTCCTGGGTATATTTGCTGATTCTGGAAGAGGCATTGGGAGGGTAAGCAGTCCTTGGCTGGTCTCTAAGAAGTAGGAAAACAAAAGTTGCAATTCAGAACCCCTAACTTGAGAGTACATCTTATAAACTTCACCCGCCCTACATCTTATGTTGGTGCCTAGGAGGCTAAACTCTAAATAGAAGGGTGAGTTAGAAGTAAATTTGCTCACAGAGTAAGTGCAGCCTAGCTTCAAGTAAACCCAATCCCTGAAATTGATAAAGAGCATCCGAGATTGCAGTGTTCCCACGTATGTCAGAGATTGAGAAATTATTAAAAGACACATAGACTGGATTTGGAAAAAAAATCTAGAACTAAAAAATACACTTGTTAAAATTAAAATGAAAGAGATCCACAGCAAACTACTCAAAACTGAATTGAGGATTACTAAATTGGAAGACACATCATTAAATCAGTGAATATTTATCAAGAAGCACAGAAAAAACAAAGGATAGAAAAGAAAGTAAGAGACAACACATTAAAAAAAAAAAAAAAAAGGTCTAGCATACATGTAATTGGAGTCTTGGAGTCCCAGGAGAGCAATAATAGGGCAGAAGTTATATTTAAATAAATAATCATAGGAAATATCCAAAAACCAACGAAAAATCTCAACAGAAAAATATTCATAAAGTCATATAAATCCAAAATAGGAATTTTGCACCTATACACATCATAGTAAATAAAACTGATGACAATCAAATGAAAAGAGAAAAGAATCTTAAAAAAATAGAAACATACATAAGAAACAATGGAAGTGAAAAGACAACAGAACGATATTTTTAAAGAACTGAGAGAAAATTAATGACTAACTAGTCATCTATTCCTAGTGAAAATATTCATCAGGGAAAAGGGTAAGAATAATTATTTTTAGATGAAAAACTAAGAGAATTCATCACAAGCAGACTGTTGCAGTAAATTAACTCAAGACTATTCTTCGAGTTAAAGGAAAATGATTCTAGATTGAAGCTCAGAGGTGCAGAGGAAAGAAGAGCGATAAAAAAGCTAAACATGTTGGTAAAAGTGGAGGAATATTTCAAAATAAAACACTAATAATAATTATTTCAGGAATTTAAATATATAAGGGATTAAAGTACACAGAAATAATTGAATAAATGTTGGGAGGGGGCTAAGTGAAGTTAAAGGGTTCTAAGACCTTTGTGATGATCAGGAATGTGGTAAAAGTATCAATTAACATTAGAATTTCATAAAATCAAGTTTGCATATAAGGTAACTGGTAGATGAATACTAAAAGAGTGAATACCTAGGAAATCAATAGAGGGAGAAATGAAATAAATATTAAATTATCAAAAAGAAAAAAAAAGGGCAAGAAATAAGAACATACAGCAAATAGGAAGCACATATTAAGATGAAAGATTTAAACACAAAATAACATTAATGAATTAAAAAGCCCAATTAAAGGACAAAGATTGTTAACCCAAGGAAAGCATCAAAGACAAATATAAAGGAGGAACATCATGGAAAATGTTGTGAGGATAGAGAGGTTGCATTAACACTTTTTTCTTCTTCATTCTAATAGGTAGCAAATTTTGACTGTTTCCATTTTGCCCATTTTTGCCTTGCTATGCATAAAATGCATTTCACATAGAGGAATGTATGCTGCCAATAATAAATACTATTTTAAAAGAAAGAAAGAATGTAGGAAGATTTTAGATTTTAGAAGATTTTAGAATTTAGAAATACAAAAAGCGTAAGAAAGGAGGAATTTCATTCAACAAAACCTAATTATCTAATGAAAAATCTTGGTTACCTGAAATTGAAAAATATATATATATGATACTATAATTAAGAGAAGTGTTCATATCTTCCTTAACAGAAAAATAACAGTAAGGGATAAAATTAAAATGAGTTTCTTAGTTTTGTTACTTTTGTTTTTTCCCTTTACTCTCAAAAATTACAGTTGGATGAATTCTTACAATACAAGAGAGAGTTAACATAGCAGGTCTGTGACTGCTACCTTCAGAAAGACCTGCTTGCAAAGTTGGCCCTTGTCTGGCAATTGAGATCTTAAATATCCAGAGGGATGCCCCCATTCCCTAACAAGGGTGGCTCACTGTGCCTAAACTGTTTGTACAAACGATGTGGTTTTGCTGAACCCCTGTATTCCCTCTGAGAGTCTAGAACTATGGTATATGTGAGACAGAGGGTCCTTAAATGATCAATCTCCAACAGAATCCCTGGGCATTGAATCTCTAATAAACTTAGCTGGTAGAAAACATTTCACACATATTGTCACAACTGTTGCTGGCAGAATTAACTGTGACCTGTATGGCTCCCCTAGGAGGGAGCAGACTCCTGGAAGCTTGCAACTGGTTTTGTCTGTACTTTACCTCATACACCTCTTCCTTTTGCTGATTTTGCTTTGTATCCTTTTGCTGTAATAAATCATAGCCCTAAGTATGATTATATGCTGAGTCCTGTGAGTCCTCTTACAGAATTATCAAATCTAGGACGGTCTTGCAGGCCTCCACTCCACTTTCCATGATTAAATAATTTTTGAAAAACTTCCTATTTTTGTGTTACTAAAACTGTTATTTGTGTTATTAAAACTGTTTTTTTATGAGAAGTATTGACTAGGAGAGGACTTCAGAAAGGAAATTTGTTGGGCCGGCCCCGTGGCATAGCGGTTAAGTGCGCACACTCCACTACTGATGGCCTGGGTTCGGATCCCAGGTGCGCACCAATGCACCGCTTCTCCCGCC